ATTCTCTCTGCTCAAAATTTATCATATGATCCAGCTATCCCACTTGTGCATATATATCTAAAGAAAATGACGTCAGCATAGCAAAGATATATCTGCAGGCCCATATTATTGCAGCATCATTCACAATAGCTAAGATATGGAATCAACCTAGGTGCCAATAACAGATGAACAGATAAAGGAAATGTAATATCTATACACAACCAAATAGTATTTAGCCCTAAAGAAAATAACATCATCTCATTTGTAGCAAAACAGATGGAACTGGAGGACATTATTAAATGAGATAAGCCAGACACAGAAAGACAAGCTCTGAATATATTCTCTCATATGTGGACACTAAAACAGTCAACATTAAAGTAGAATAGTGATTACTAAAGGTTATGAAGGGTATGGGGGAATGATGGATAAAGGGAGTCTCAATTTATTTAGTGTACCCTACACCCATATGTTAAAATATATCACATAGAACTTCATTAATATCATAGATATGCGTGTCATCAAAACTAAAATAATTTATATGTAAAATTTATCAACATCTCCTTTTTTAAAAAACTTTATTTTATTATATTTTATTTATGTGGTGCTGGGGTTGAACCCAGTGCCCCACATGTATTAGGCAAGCACTTTATCACAGAACCACAACCCGGGCCCCCTCCATGTCTCCTCTTCATTTGTGAGCCTGGAAACAGTGTTGAACCCTTCCACATGGTGTTTGCCCTCCACAGTCTTCAGGCTTGGATACCCTAGGCCTATTCCTAGAAGGCAGCACCCAACTGCAACCACTTTGATCACGTGGATTTGCTTTCTAAGTTCCAATCCCTTCAATTCACTCTTCTAAGCGTCCTGGTTACATGACCAGAAACCATCGCTAGCCCAGAAGCCTCAGCTCCAACATTGTTCCCACTGTGACTCCCAGCCTCATCCCTGCCTCCTTCCCAATAGCCCCGACCTGCCTGCACTCTCTCCCTCCTTCCCAGTAGCCCCGATGCACATCTTTACTGGACTTTAATGGTAGCCCCTCTCGTTACTGAAACAAAACAATCCTGGAAAAGAAGGGCTTTGTGCTTAGGACAGGAGCTGGACCTCAGTATGTTCTCAGAGATAGTTTGTTCAACACATTGTGACATATCATTAATATACGGAAATTACTGACCGAATCAGTCATCCTGTCTGAATATTTAATTTCCCTATATCTGGCTTTCCCTGAACTCTTACCATTTAAACAGGAACAAAATTTGATGGAAGAGAAACTAAAACTCATTGGACCAAGAAAGAATGGTATTTCTGCTGAGGACAATGTCATTTTCAGAACATTAACAATATATAAACCCAGAATGAAAACACCTCTGTAGCTCTTAAATCCAGAAGGCAATAATTATTTATAGGAAACCACCATGTTCCCCACTGTATAAGATACAGTAAATGTCTTTAAATATTTAGGTGGTTTACAACTGGCCTGATATGATTCCCTACTTCTGTGGTCCAACATAAACAATGAGAAGCAGCCTGAAATGAACAAAGCTTTGCCCCATAAGTTGGCAGTGCACCCTCTGGACAAACATCCTTCAGTTGTCTAACCTGTGAGAAAACACTTCCACAGGACAGGGACACACTCTCCACTGAAATGGAGCCCATATAAAAGGAAATGTCATTTGTGACATCTCTGGACTATTCTCCTATGACCCATCATCCAAGAACAAATATAAAAGTAAAACTGTTTTTCTGAAAGAAAAACATTTGATCCCTAAACTGTTTCCTTTTTAATGATTACAAAAAACATGTGTAAAAGTTATGCTTTACTTTTTATTACTCTTTGCTTAGGTCTAGAGATCACCATTTAAAGAAAACAACAAAAATCGGCTTTAAAGTATCTCATTTGCCATAAAATTCAAATACAGGCTCCTAAACTCTCTCTTTGGTTGCCTTCAAGCTCTTGCCTATGTTGCTAAGTAAATCTCAGTGTTTAAAGCACTGGACATCTGTCTTTAACAGACTATAGGGCTTGAAAATTACTCCTTCCTGCGGTCGTTCATAAATGGGGTCATAATTTATTGATTTCTGAGGTAGGTCATAGGGGGTCACTTTCCCTCTCCAAATCGTTATTTCTCAACATTTGATGTACATCTTGGTGACCCAGTGAGCTTAGCAGAGCAGGTGCATATTCCCGAGCACCATCCCAAAGGGCCCTCCTGATTAATGAAAGCGCTAATGCTTCTGATGCAGATAGGATTAAACCAACTTGGCAAGTTCTAGGGTTTCTAGAAAGATAGCAGCCCGTGCCCTTTCTTCCTTTCCTCTCTCCACTCTCAACTCCAACCTTTCTCTCTCTCCTGATCCTAGCAGCTTCTGGTATTGGTAACTATAAGATTCCAAGTGGGGTCTTAGGCTCTGTGGGAGTCACCACAGGCAAAGCTGGTTCAGAGTCTTCTTCCCTGTAGACCAGGCAACCTATGAACACAAGTTGAAGCCAGGAGCAGAGTGACCAGGGGCAGGGATAAGCAAGTACCCTTGTGGGAAGGGTGGCTTGGGGACCTGCAAATTCCCAGGTAACAGACCTCTGTCTTCTCTGATTATTTGGAGGGGGTCAATACTTTCTATTCCTGAATTAACAAGAGCACAAACCGCAGAAAGCTCCGCTAGCTGCCTGGAGGAAGTAGGAATGTACTGACAGTCATCTGCAGCTCAATAGAGGTAGAAGGTTCTTTGGCTCCATCTCTCTGGGAACTACTGTAGTCAATAAATGATACCCTAATCTGATCAAACAGCAAGGACAATCACACATCCCAGGAGTCAGAGGAAAACTCAAAAAATGCAGACTAACAAAGAGTCACTAAAAGGATATACAACCAACCAACCAGACAAACCAAAAGCAATAGAATAGTAACAGGATCACATGCCTACACAGGAGTTTCTAAACTCAGGAAGAAAGACTTCCTGAAAATATTATTGAAGAAATTAACTAAGAGGATGATCCTTGTTTAGATACAAATAATAGCACTAGAGAAATACCACAAACAGATAGCCAAAAAGAAAAGGTAAAGAAATCTTGAAGCTGGGCACAGTGGCATATGCCAGTAACCCCAGCAGCTCAGGAGGGCCCTAAGCAACTTAATGAAAGCCCATCTCAAAATTAAAAAAAAAAAAAAAAAAAAGATAAATAGGGCTGGAAATGTGGCTCAGTGGGTAAGTTTCCCTGGGTTCAATTTCTGGTACAAAAGAAAAAAAAAAAAAAACTTTGAGGAAAGATAAAGAACTTGAAAAATGGATCTGGAAGATCCTAACATGAGATCCTAACATGACCTTTGTGTCTTGCTGAGTTGCTTAAAGCCTTACTAAGTTGCTGAAGCTGGCTTTAAACTCACAGTCCTCCTGCCTCATCCTCCTGAGCCACTGGGATTGTAGGCATATGTCACCACTCCCAGCCTCATTTATGGTCTTGACCTCATTTTGCTTAAATCATAGAGTTCCCTGCAGACAGGTATGTGCTGTTATGGGTCATTTTTCTTAAAGTAACTATGGGAGATTTTGTGAAATGTATAATTTATATATTTTTCTAAAATCCTAAAAATTCTAAAACATACCTGGCCCTCCTACTTACTGCTAAGGGCTTGGAGTAGGGGCCAGTGACTAGTGTCCTTTTTTTTTTTTTTTTTTTTTTTATAAAGATGCTTGTCTGTATAGGGAGGAGCCATTGATATGGAGGTTGGGAGCCAGTCCTGCCTCATCAGTCCTAGGTATCTGCTTTGACACAACCCTAAAAAGAGCAGGGGCTTCTCAACAGCTATCCCTGTGAACTCTGACCTCAGAAATAATGAAAGCATTCACTGTTGAGGGCCACAGCCGATTCGGGATGACGCATGGCATTTTTGCCAGAAGTAGTGGTTGAGAGCATGCCAGTAAGTTCTCGCGGAGTTCCCATTGAGTTCCAGTTGAGCTCTCGCGGGGATTCCCGGAGAGTTCCCGGGGAGCGTGTGTGGAGTGTGCTGGTGGAGTTCAGAAATAAAGTTTGTTCCTGCTTCAGTGGCTTGTGATTTGTGCCCAGCCAGACTGCGGCAATTCACATAGAATTTGGGGTATGGGGATCAAAGCCAGGCACTTGAACATGCTAAGCAAGATCTCTGCCACCAAATGACTCCTACTGCCCCTCATATAGATATTTTTATTTGAATTCTTAAAAATATCAAAGCTAATGCTATTTTTCTTAGTCAGCTCAGGTTAATATAGCAAAGTACCATAAACTGGGTATCTTCTAAACAACAAAAGTTTATTTCTCACAGTCCTAGAAACTGGAGAAATCAGGGGTCCAGCATGGTTGAGTTCACCCGAGGGCCCTTTTCTGAGTTAGAGATGACTATCTTCTTCATACAACAGAGAATTGTCAAACAAAATTTTGGGTGACCATGAATTTTGACTGGGCATCTGCACTGGGCCCAACATATCAAATTAACATAAAATTCAATTGCAAGAATTGAACTTTGGTTGGTTGTAGGAGGCACTGCAGCTGATTGATCAAGCTTTAACCAATTGATTGACTGATCTAGTAGACTATAGCAAAGTATGTTGTTTTCTATGTCTCACTTCCACTTTTCTGTAAATGCTTTGTGATGGTAGTTAGTTGAAGTTCTCAGAACCTGCTGTGGTTCCAGGAGCTGCCTAATTCATGAATCACTTCTGTTTTGCTTTGCTTTAAAAAAAAAAAAAAAAAAACCACCAAATTTAATTGTTTTAAGGATTCTTTAACAGTAGGAAAAAATGCAAGCTACTTTCCTACTAGTGTCTCCTTCCAAGGGCACTAATCCTATTTGTAATGGTTCATCCTCCTAAACTAGTCACCACCCAAAGAACCCATCTCTAAGTACTATCATGTTGAGAGTTGAATTTCCACAAAAAAAAAAAAAAAAAAAATTAGGGAGAAACACAAACATTCAGTCTATGACACTATTCATAGTCTGTCTTTATTCACAATGTGTCCATAATTTTGAAATAAAAAAGTTTCTTACCTGAAAAAGTAAGTTTCCAAACCCTCATAGTGGCCAGGAGTCAGTTTGAGGGGAGGGTATTCGGTGGCCAGAGGTTGCACCATGAAAAGGCCCATGGCCAAGGCCACAAAAAGGACAGGCAGCAGCAGGTCTGAGACTGTGCTTTTCCAGGCTCTCAGTGTGTGGAGCAGCCTTTTCCTCAGGAGGGCAGCTACCTGTGCGAGAAGCAGCTGATGACCTCGCATAGGTGCATGCAGGGTCCATGCAGGTGGGGTCCTCACAGGAGAGTCACCTGCAGGGGCACAAAGTTAGCAGTGAATCAGACATGGAATGACATGGCTCCCATGATCTGCCTGGTTCTAATAATTCTCTTCATTTGTCCTCTAGGTGATCTTTGGGCCTATCCTTGGGCCTAAATAAGAGCAGGTTACTATATCAAAAGGACAACAGGAGGCCTTTGCATACCCATGTCCTGGAAAGTTAGCATACCAGCTGTTTCAGCTTTAAACACAGGGTGAAGTGCTGCTGTGGGTTCACTCTGTTCTTGCTCCTGAAGGTGAAGGAGTACATGCAAATGGAAGAGAAGAAAGGGCCTGGCCTAAAGCCTGGAGTCTAGGGGGTTTCTGAGGAATCAAAGACAAAAGAATTGCAAGAGGTTCTTGAACTCCCAGACATTGAGTTTCCTGGGGAGTGGGGGTACAGGGAGGCTCTCTCCTTATTAAAGCTCCCCTCCTTCTACCATACTATTCCTCTGCTGTTGATGAAGTCTTTCTTGAGAAAGTCCTGGGTAATAGATAATGAGCTAGTCAAATTTTGGAGAACCACATCACGGCCTTCCCTCAGTTCTACCCATGTCCTTCCTTCCCACTCAGAGAGGAGCTAATCAGCCCTCAAGGCAGGGCCTCTCCTCCAGCTGCAGCCCCCTGAGTCCACTGGATTTCAGCAATCCTGTCCCTTCCTCCCGTTTTTCCTGTAGGGAATCAAGCAACTCTGAAAAGTCTTCAGAGATCATAAAATTCTAAAGGATAGAGTGAGTTATGCACCATTGATCTATGGGTCCCTCAAGATTGACCACTTGAGGATTACACACACACACACACAAATTCTATACACATATACACATGCTCCAATTGAGGCTAAAGATTCCAAGCAACACACACACACACACACACACACACACACACAAGGGAAAAAAATGTTGAAGATGAGCAATCAGCAGCAAAATGTGAGCCAGACCCAGGACTGTGACCTTAAAACAACATCTCATGGGCTCATCAGCTCTGTCAATGGTTTTCCCCAGTGATTCCCTCTAAGATACTCTAGAAAATCTAATACAGAGTATTTCACAAGAAAAGTGGTCTTCTGAAAGAACAGATGTCCTACTGATTATACTGCCCATAAACATCACAGTGAAATGCAATTAATACAAGAATATCTGAATAGTTCTTTTTTAAAGAAACTGGACCATTTTGAAACATAGATTATTTGTAACAGTGTTACAAGAGAGCAGTTGGGGATGAAAAATGCACATCTGAACCTATTCCTTCATTGGCCTAAACTATATAATGGGCCTTGGACTATTTGGTTTATGTCCTCAAAAATGCCTAGCAGAGCAGTTAATATAAAAATGTAACAACACAGTGGAATCAAGTGTTATGGTCAAGGTGAGCAAACTTAAGTTAGTATCAGGAGGCAAGTTTCCATGATTCAAGGCAAAAAGGAGAAAGCAAGCACAGCCCTGAAAACAGGTAGGTGGGATCATCCTTATGATCCCATAGGAGTTTGCAGGCAGTCAGGAAAATGTGTATGTTTCAAGATCAAAGAAGGAGAAGTGAAAAAGCATGGAGTATTCTGTGAGTAACTGAGAGGCAGCAGAATGTGGCACCGATGCATGGGGAGTGTCAGGAGATGAAGGTGAACGGTCACCAGAGTCCAAGTCATGAAGAGCCTTTACAGCCCCTTGCACCTGGCTGAAGAGGCCCAAGCCCAGGAGTCACCTGATTAGACTTGTGTTTTAGAACACAGAGTCTTACTTCACTCCATAAAAGACAGAGCTACAACAAATGATTTTAAAATCAGGCTACATACCACATTCAACTGGAAACTCTTTTAACATGCTGATTTCTAGGCCCCACCTCTAAAATATTTGATTCTCCAAAGACTAGAGATAAAAATGTGCTTTTTAATAATTTCCCAGGGGATTGTGATGCTCAGCTGGGCTGTGGAACCACTGATTCAATGAATTATCAATGATTATTCTTATGAAGCTCTTATGAAGCCGTTATTAAGTCAGTCTATAGAGAGATTTTAGTGCTAGAAAATGTATATTATTAAGCTAAATGGGAACCTTTCATTTATGTATATCATTCTTGATATTTTTATGGGATTATAATGCTGGATAACAACCAATTCATGGTATGTATTCAGATCTACTAGGATAATTATGAGAGTTATCGGGTTCAAGTTAAAATAATTGAGTTGTTTTGGGGTTGCCCATTTTCTGGATTTATTAAAGTAATTATTGAGATAACAGTGTGATGTCTTCACTGCCTTTTGACTAAGGAGTTTTCCCCTATAAAGCAGCATGCCTTATTCTGTTCAGAATCAAGAGGAATTGGAAGGTCCCTGGTGGGTCCTGTGATCCCTCACTACTACAAAAGTCATCACCTGTTAGAGGGCACAACCCACAACTTAGCCCTAATGTAGCATCTCTTGATTTTGACATCTAACTATGCACACTTGACCACTGGTATAGTTGGGATATGAGATGTTCCCCCCAGTTTCTGTGTTAATGCAGAAATATCCAGAGGTCAAAAGATTGGGTTGTGAGTGTCATAACCTAATCAGTCCATCCCAGTTTGAATGGACCAACTGGGTGGTAACTATAGGCAGATGCAGCATGGCTGGAGGAGATGGGTAGAGTGTGTCCTGAAAGGGTTCATCTTCTCAGTGGCCACTTCCTCTCTTTCTCTGCTTCCTGGTCACCATGAGAGGAGAACTGTTTCTCCACCATGCCCTTCTGCCATGATGTCCTACCTCACATGGTCTCAGAGCAATGGAGTCAGCAGACCATGGACTGAACCTCTGAAACCGTGAGCCAAAATAAACTTTCCCTCCTATGTATTTTCAGGTATTTTGATCTTAGCAATGAAAAGTGAACTTATACAGCTCAGCCCACTAGCAGTCTGCCGAAATATACACCTTCTCATACGAGAGTTTGCTCAGCAAGCAAAAGGTTGTAAATATCTATTCATGTATTAGAAAGAAACTATTGGATATCTACTCAGCAAATTTGCCCTTATGATGGAATGGGCATGGAGACAGAGACAGAGAATGATGGTTTATGTTTCCACTGGCCTCACTCATCATGAACAGATAAAGGAAGTTCTATCCACATTGACCTAGATGTGAATCCAATCTTAGTCTCCAACATACTGTGTGACTTCTGGAAAACTACTTAACCTCTTTGAATGTCATCTCCTCAGTTGTAAAAGAGACTTATAATATTTTCCCTCCGGATAGTGAGGATTGTTATTAGAACATTTATTAAACTACCAAAACAGGCATAATATTGACTTCCAGTCATAGTAAATGTTCATCAGACAGCCTCAATAAGTCTGTAGAGAAAGGTATGTCATATATTAAAAAGAATAAATTGTCTCCACCTTCTCATATATGTTAATTGGGTATAAATGAGAAAAATAAAAGACTGAGATAGTTTATGGTTATGAATTCACCACCAATCAAATATTCATGGCTAAACTTAAAAAGTATTCGCATGAATAATTTAACAGACAAAAATTAAAATGCTGGACCAAATTGTTATGAATTGTCTTATTTGACTTATGAGTACAATTATATTCAAGGACTCTAGTTACATCCACAATTATGCATCCCCATTAACTCCGACCATCAAATTACTTAAGGGATGTGTACAAAGTTGTGTTTTTATTTCCTTCCATTGTCTTTTTTCCCCTTCCTATCTACCTATCTACCTACTTACTTTCTTTCTTTCTTTCTTCCTTTCTTCTTTCTTTTTCTTTTTGTTTTTATTTTTTGGTCAGGTGGCCACAGTTTTTCAAACCTTAATACCTCATGACTTACTAGGCACCTGAGAATACAGTATACACAATATCAAGTTCACCAAAATGTTCCTAAATATTTTAAAATGAAGCATTACCAACATAATGTTTTCATGTGGATAAAAATAAGATGAATACTCCAAAAGAAAAATAGACACAAAGAACACAAAACATGCAGTTCATAAAGCATCTATAAAATAGCCAGCATGTGAACATTGTAGAATAAGGAAAGAATTGGGCTTTCTCACTCATCCATTTAGTAAATATTATATTATTATTGAGGATTCAAGGAAGTGGGTCTTCTACACTGCTGGCGGGTGAAGAGATCTCTATAGTCATTTATGGGAAACAGATATGGACCTTCTTTAATCTGCTTAATTTCAAATCATCAGTTATATTAATTTTTTTTCAATTTTTGTTTTAGTTGTCACTGGACCTTTATTTTATTTATTTATATGTGGTGCTGAGAATCAAACCCAGTGCCTCACACATGCTAGGAGAGCACTCTGCCACTGAACCACAATCCCAGCCCCCTGTATTATTTAAAAAAAAAAAAAAAAAAACATAAATGCATGAACTATCTAAAGCAAAGTGACTTGTTTTATCTTACAGAAAATAGTCAAATCCATGAGAATAAATCAAACAAATTACAATATAGTTTGAGGATCCCTGATCTAAAATATTGAGAACAAAATATTTCAGATTTATGGGGGTTTTTTTCAAATTTGGGGGTATTCATTTATACATGATGAGAATGGACACCAAGTCTAAACACATCATTTATAGGAATGTTTTACACATAGCCCGAAGGATATTTTATACCCTATTTTTAGCATACCTATGTTTTGTCTGTAACCTATTACATGCAATTAGATATGGAATTTTATGCCATGGCATCATGTCAGGACTCAATTTTTTTTTTATATTTTGGACTTAGAGAATAGTGCAAAAAATAAATCCTCTTTTGGAACCTAGAACTCATTGTTCAGTATGAGTTTTGATACATACAAGCAAGAATGTTATGCCTAATTGATAAATGAAAAGGCTATCTTCAGAAAATGAGGTATTGGGTTGAAGATATATCTTACTGTGTTTGTTTAACTATTTTGTTGACATATCCCATATCTGTACTACTGTGTGAGATAATAGGAAGAATATGATGTAAACTCATTGATGTTTAGAGGAGGTGTCAGCACATAAGAATGAGGCAGTTCCATCTACTCCCAAAGTATAAGGGTTTGTTTCCATTGCTTCTAGCTGCCTGTTTTCTCCTATTTGGATCCTAAAGTTAATTACTTGAAGAAATTAAATCTCAAATATCCTAGGTAGAGAATTGTGAAATCATCAGAATTCCATAATTCAAATGGAAAAAGAATGGTGGGATGTTGGGACAACTAGAGAAGCATCAGTTCTTTTAAAAAGGGCATCCTTGTGATGGACACAAAGGAATCACAATGGGAAACTCCTT